TCCCTACACTAGATTACTATTATGTTTTATTTTGATATAATCGTAGACCCACAAAATAATTGCAAAAACTGTACCCTGTGCCCTTCACTCAGCTTCCCCCAATGGTGACATCTTACATAACTGTAGTACAGTATCAAAATCAGGACACTGCTTTTGGTGCAATCACAGACCTCATTCAGATATGATAGATTTTAGACACATTAGTGTGTGTGTAGTTCTTGCCATTTTACCACGCAAGTAGGTTCCTGTCACCACATGAAGATACAACCTGCTGCATCACCAGACACCTCCCTCCTGCTGCCCCTTGAGTCATACCTGTCTCCTGGCAACCATGAATCTGTTCTCCCTCATTTTCTCCTTTCAATAATGTTATATATGTGGAACCATATAGCATGTGACCTTTTGAGATTGGCTTTTTCACTCAGCGTAATACCCATCCAAGTTGTTCAGAGACCGAGGTCATGGGGAGGGGCCCCAGAACCCACCGTAGGACTGTGTCCTGACCAGAAACCTTCCACACCCATATTTGGAAATGGGTCCTTAATTTTTCCTGCCAGAGGGTAGGAAATACCTCCTTAAGGAATAGAGGCTGGGTTATTTAGTTTGGGTTTATCTTGTAGTTTTGTTAATTATCTAGTATTTGCCTTTTTCTTTGTTTTTTTAATAACATTTTCCCCTCATTTCAAAGGTTATAAATGTTCTCTGTGGAAAATATAGAAAAGCACCCAAAATGAGAAATACCCATTATCCCAACTTTGAGAAATACCCACAAAGTAATAGTATGTTTCCTTAAAAATGAAGTTACGTAGCTATTGCTTTTGATCAGCTTTTTAACACAGCATGAACATTTCTCCAGAATTTTCAGAAAATTTTAAGCATTCCATTTCATTTTAATTCACTGTATAATACCCCAAACTCAAACAGCCTCCTCGTGTTGGACATATAGGTTATCAGTTTTTGCTATTCTAACTAATGCTGTGAGGAACATCTTTGTTCCAGTCTGATTGTTACTTATGTTCCTGGGCTAGGGGGCAGCTTGGTGCATTTAGGGAGGGCTCCTGGAGGGCTAGCCACTGTGGGGCCTGGTAGGCCAGGGGAGGATTTGGGTCTTGGTCCTAAATGCAGAGGGACACCATTGAAGACAGTGGAAGATTTTCATTTCAGGTGTGTGTTTGTAAAAGATCTGCAGGATGGAGAGAAAAGTGAGGTGGATGGGTGACTTCAGGCAGAAGTCAGTGGTAGGGATGAAAGATAGATGGTGGTGAGAGGGAGCAAACTGGATGGACTCAGCGATTTCAGGTCAAAGTAGCAGGACTCAGTGCCCTGGGGTATGGCTCCTGCAGCGGGCAGGTGGATGGTGATGCCATTCACTTATCTGAGAACGCCACAGGAGGGCCAGATGGCTGTTGCTGTTTTTTCGTTTAATGATGGGAGTTTAGGAGAGATCTTTTGATTATTCTTGTTGTGCTGAATTTGAGGCATCTTTGGGACATATAGTGGAGATGTCAGAGCGCTAGCAGATATAGGAGTCAGGACCAGAGATACAGATCCAGGAGTTATCGATGTGTACATGGCACTGGATGCCAGGGACCTGGCTCACATCATGTAGGAAGGGCCTGTGTGCTGCCTGGGCCTGACAGGCTGGCAGAGGCCAAAGCAACTCTGCACAGGTGCCCAAAGAACCCCGCTTGTATCGTCAAGAATGTGTATGGTAACTGTAAGCCAGGCTGTTCAGTTTGTCTCAGGAGTGACAAGTCAGCAGCATGAATGACAGTGCCACACGGCTTGGTTAATCGCACACATGGGGAACTCTCAACACGGCAATGTTCTCTACCATAATTGTTTCTGCATAGAAATGGAGGATTGGGTGTTTAGGGGGAAAAAAATGAGCAAAAGAGAAGTCTTTTAGGTCAGCTAATAACCAAAATGAGAGAAAGAGTGCCAAAGCCCTACAAGGACAGTGTCACAACATAAAACAAGGCTTTCCCATCATCATCACTGTAAGGCTGAAATAGTTCTTCTAGCTATCTAGCCAGAGATAATCTTGAATGTGTGCAACATAAGTTATGTGTCCATATGTTTATAGAAACACTATTTTTATTATTTACTTTCTGGCCTTGCCACATGGCATGTGGGATCTTAGTTCCCCGACCAGGGAGTGAACCTGTGCCCCCTGCACTGGAAGCACTGAGTCTTAGCCACTGGACTGCCAGGGAAGTCCAAGAAACACCATTTTTAAAAGAAAAAAATTAGAAGCCAAATGAGAATGAATAAATAATAATACCATCATTAATACCATTTATATTAGCACCCCAAAAATGAAATACTTATGTATAAAGTCTTAATAAAAAATTAACTTAAAAAATCACATGCTGGGCTTCTCTGGTGGCGCAGTGGTTGAGAGTCTGCCTGCCGATGCAGGGGACGCGGGTTCGTGCCCCAGTCTGGGAAGATCCCACATGCCGCGGAGCGGCTGGGCCCATGAGCCATGGCCGCTGAGCCTGTGCGTCCGGAGCCTGTGCTCCGCAACAGGAGAGGCCACAACAGTGAGAGGCCCGTGTACCACAAAAAAAAAAAAAAAAAAAAAATCACATGCTTATATCCTTTGAGGTAGATTTTTTTTTCTACCTTTTAGAACTTCTGAGTGATCATAACATTAAGTCAGAAAGTAAAAAACCCTCTAAAATGAAGACATGACAATGTCAAACTCCATAAAATAAAATTCCAGGTAGCTTCACGGCTGAAGTTCGGCAAGGTCAGCAGGCACTGCTGACGTTAATGCTTTTGAAGGCATTATAATGATGCTTTATATTTTATGAAGACTGAAAACTACCTAAAAACCCAGATTGTGAAAAAATATTCATTATATTCATAAGGAAATGTGGATATACTGAATATATTTATGGCACACATGGTTCCTTCAGTCCCACGAGTTACAACTGGCTCTGTGCCCGCCAGTGACTCCTGCTTATCCATGCACTTGTTTGATTCCTGTGCCTGTTCTTGTTCAGCTTTTTAACTTCCCCAGGCCTCACAGAGCATCCACCCTAAACAGGATATGTGCTGAGGGAGCAAAAAGAGTGAGAATCGTTTACACACAGAACATGTTAGGAATGGCTTCAACACCATCTGTTCTAAAGGAATTGAACCTTGTAGAAGAATCTGCTATAGAATGTCTATAAATTATTAATTTTACAGTCAGTAGAAAAAGGTGCTTAAAACAATAAAACCAATATATGTGTACGTATATAACTACAACACAATCAATAGATAAGAGCTAAGAAGAGTATGTGCTATTCCAGAAACAGTAAGACAGTGGAATCTCTAAATCTGGAAACAAAGATTGAGGCCTAGTTTAGAATGGAAACAGTTAAATATATTAGTGTGTAGAACCAATATAATGTAATCTTTAATGCTAATAAGATTCCTGCCAGGCTTCAAAAACAAAAAACTCAAAGAAATAAGAAATATTCAGTAAACCTACAAGCCATGCAGCATGGCCAAAAAAACAAAAAGACAGATAATCTGGGGGAATTCCCTGGTGGTCCAGTGATTAGGATTCTGGGCTTTCACTGAGGGCCCAGGTTCAATCCCTGGTCGGGGAACTAAGATCCCACAAGCCGCGTGGCGTGGCGGAAAAAAAAAAATTCTGTCCACATCGATTCTGTCCTGGAGCTTGGACAATGTATGACTGCTAATAATTCCCTGTAGCCTACTTAGGAGAGGCTCCAATGGAAATGAGAGACAATACCACTTTCACAAGAAAAATGAATATAACCTAGAAAATGTGACCATAGAAAATATTCAAACCTGTAAGAGATGTGGATTAAATCAGTAAAAACCTATCATTCTGGGCTTCCCTGGTGGCGCAGTGGTTGAGAGTCCGCCTGCCGATGCAGGAGACGCGGGTTCGTGCCCCAGTCCGGGAAGATCCCACATGCCGCGGAGCGGCTAGGCCCGTGAGCCATGGCCACTGAGCCTGCGCGTCCGGAGCCTGTGCTCCGCAGCAGGAGAGGCCACAACGGTGAGAGGCCCGCGTACCACAAAAAAACAAACAAAAACAAAAAAACCTATCATTCTATACAACCCACTTTGCAGCAATTAATAAAAGCAACAATGACAAAGCTTGGAAGCAATGCTGTCAAACCAGAACTTTATTTCACAACTAATGAACACCTGAAAGAAGGGAAGTAAATATGAGCACACATAATGACAGTGGTGCTCAGGGGATCATATCCAAAGAAATGTAAGACAAGAAAGTGAAAAACAGATTAAGGATACAGTTCGCAGCTCAATTTGTTTTTACAGCACAATGGAAGTGAAAGGCAATGCAGCCCTTAGACTCGGGATTTTTTAATAAACTGTTTTAATAACCTGGAACCCAGCCCTGTAATTAGCTGTAATTTACTGAGATATGGAATCTTGAACACAATGTAATGAAAACTGAAACCTCAGAGGAGGAACATGAAAAAAAATACAAGTCATAAAAATACGATTATTGCTGCAAGGAACTTACAGCTATTTATAGAGATAAATCTAGGACTATGTCACATTGATAGAACAGTGGGAAGACAGATTTTTGGCCGATCTGTGGTTGAGTCTGATTTCGTTTTTTCAGGTTCAGTGCCCCTTCCTCTGGGCACATAAATCCCAGAAGCCTGCATATAGCTGAGCCCTTCCCAAGACACTAGAGGTCCAAGGTGTCATGCCAAAAGGTTAGCCAACCAGGTGACCTTCTGAGGTCCCCTTTTTTTTTTCTCTTTTTTTTGCGGTACGCGGGCCTCTCACTGTTGTGGCCTCTCCCGTTGCGGAGCACAGGCTCCGGACGCACAGGCTCAGCGGCCATGGCTCACGGGCCTAGCCGCTCTGCTGCATGTGGGATCTTCCCGGACCAGGGCATGAACCCCTGTCCCCTGCATCGGCAGGCAGACTCTCAACCACTGCGCCACCAGGGAAGCCCCTCTGAGGTCCCTTTTTGAGGCTCAGTTACATACACATTGGGATCATCGCCCCCTGCCCCCACGCAATGCTCTATGGAAATTCTACCAAAATGCTTCTTTAAGGAGGAAAGACTCATTTATCACCACCTTTTTAGAAAGCATCCATGGATGACATCAGACTGTCTCAGGGTTCATAGTTCTTTTCTTCCATAAAACAAGATGTGATCCTTTTGGGACAACTAAATTAATAAATCCTGAAATTAATAAACTGTACCAAGACCCACAAATTTGTTTTCAATAGAAGAGTTAAATTTAAATGGCAATTTTAAAAACTGAAAAATTTCTCTATCTCTAGCTGGAGTCCTCACTGGAGGTTGACAATTAGGGGTGAGACAACAGGAAACCATGTATCCTGTCATGGAACACAACGTGTAACTCTGAGCATTGACTTAGAATCTACATTATTTATCAACATATTACAAGACTGTGACAGCACTGTCAATGTGTTAACTATGAAGCCCCTTTCTAGGATAAGGAAGGCAGGAAAGGGCCTCCTGCTGCATGCTGCAAATCCATCACAGCTTAAAGTCTGGCCAGACCCTCTCTCTGTTTAACTGTGGAACTGAACAGGCTCGCTGAACTATTTTACAGTGACCCAAACGCTGGAACAGAACACGTAAAACGGTCTGGCGGCTGCATGTCAGAGGCCTCACCAGCCTTGCTCTCTGTGCTTACAGTATCAACAGAGTCAGTTCCAAGCGATTCTGGGATGTCCATAAGGCTGTGAAGAGAAAGAAAACATAAGACTGATTAGGTCAGCAGTCTTTGGAGCGCTGGAAATTAATCTCATTTTAAGAAACAGCTACAAGCACAGTATAAATGGCTATTTTCATTTAGAGCTGAGAAGTCTTTAACCCTAGGCCCTAAATGAGGCCCTCTTTTTTTTTTAAGTACCAGCCCTAAGTAACATTTCACGTGGCTCTTTGAGACCTCGATCTGAGACACTCACTGATCCATGATGGAGTAAGTTTAGAAAATGCTGTTCCCTGCGCCTTGAGATCCCTGGCCAGTTAGGACACTGACGTTCTGCAGCAGGTGTGGTACCTGCTCTGTTTCATCAGCTTCCCAGAGTTTCTGACCACAGAGGAGCTGGCCTCTCTGTTAGAACGCCAGAGTGGCCCTGTTAAAGGAGGGACAAAGGCGACACGCCTGCTGAGCCCTCAGTCAGTTCCTGGGTGCTTTAGTCATCAGCTCCCTTGAAGCAGGGGTGACAGCCTCTGCTTGTCTGTGATCCCCCAATGCCCCGCATCGGGGGTCACTCAAGTAGTTCGTGAGGCAGGGAAAGAAGGAAGGAGAGGATTAGATGACAGGGATGGGTAACCGCAGGTGCCGAGGGCAGGAGAGGAAGGGAAACAAGCCCCTGGTCACCCTGGTCAGCTGGGCTCTGCTGTCTGGACAGTTAGGACCCAGCACCACTGCGCCTTCACCTCTCACCAGCCACGGCAAAGCTCTTCTTGGATTGTTCTCTATCCCGAACAGGGTGGCCAGGCACGCAGCTCAGCAGTCAGGACCTCAGTCCTTGGGCAGCGGCCCAAGCCAGAGCAAAGTTGCCACAAGGGCTGTTTGAGGTCCAATGAAGGACTGAAACAGACGCTGTGTCAAGGTTCCCTACCAGTCGAGAAAGGAAGAAACACACGAGAAGAGGAGCAAGGAAGAATCTGAGCTGCTGGGAAGCAGCCCTGCGCCCTGGGCTGTAAGCCAGTCTGGGAGAGCAGGGCCAGGCTGAGCAGCACAGCAGTAGCGCCGTCCGCTGCGCTCCCTACCTTGGGCCGGTAGCCCTGCTCGGTCATCATCTTCGCCTCCTGCTGCAGCAGGGCGTCTGTGAGCTGCTCTGCCTGCCTCGCCTCTTCTTCCTCCTCCTCTTCCTGCTGGTCCGCTTCCCACGCCTGCAGCTGGCGCTCTGCAACCTGGCCACCGAGAGCAAAGTCACCCGGGACGGGCCACAGGGCAGAACCCTGCCTCTGATCCAGAGGGAGAGGCTCAGGTCCCCCCACTGGAGCATCAGCGCTCAGCACTAGTGGTGGCAGTGCCCTCATGGGAAGGACATTCATGGTACTGAATGGTACCATGGTACTGGAGAGGTTATGTGTGTGGTAAAATGCACCTTGTAAAAAGCTCTGGACGTAGCCACGTGTTGGGAAGATCCTTCTGTGTTAACTATTAGGTACTGAATTGAATAAAAAGAGACTTGTGGCCAGTGAGCCAGGTGCTTGCAGATGCAGCCAGGAAAGAGGCAAGGAACAGTAACAGCAGCCTTGTTCCCACAGGAGACAGAGGACCCGGAGCGGGGCTGGAGCTACAACCAGGAGGGTCAGGGTTCCAGTGGGAAATGAAAAGGGATGCTCTGAGCTCCCAAACGTGGGCTTCCCGGACAAGGTCCAGGCCAGGCTGTGGAAATAAGTCAAGGGTCCCTGAACCCCGTGCCATGATGGTGCAGGAACCTCAGCAGGGCCTGCTGCCCGTGCGTTCATCCCAGGGCTCAGCCCCACCTGGGCTTCCAGCTCCTGCTTCCTGGCCGATTTCAGTTCTTCGCTCTCCTTTTTCTCACGATGAGCTGACTCTCTGGCCTCCTCAAGATCTCGAATAAGTTGCTCTCTGTGTCTCAGGGATTCCTCTTGCTCCCGTCGGTTTTGTTCAATCTTTTCCTGTATTTGTTTTTGTCTTCCTGTCAGAACCTATCCTCAGCGGAAAGGAAGAGGGAAGATTTTGGTTAGACTTTAACAGATGCCTGTTCTACCAGCCATGGACAGTCTGCAGCTGCAGCTACATGGAGACCAGACCCAGCCTAACCCTCAGCCTCAGGCCCAAATACACCAAGAGGAAGGCAAGCCCAGACTACGGGATCGGTCCAAACAATCGGCCACATTTCCCACGCGTCCCCATCGCACACAGAGTGCACGTGGACTGTGCGCATGGAGACAGCCGAGCACCAAAGAGATCAAAGCAGGCAGCGATGGAGCTCCGTCCCCAGGGCACAGACACATAGCAACAAGGTGACTCTCACTCCCTATCAGTGAGTTCTAGAAAAAGTAAGAAATCACAAGCCACGTAGATGGCCAGAGGCAGAGTCTGGGTCATCCCACCAACCTTGTGGATTTAAATTTACTGCTCAAAGCAGCAGAAACCTGCTGTGTTTGATTCTTGGCGAGAGCAGGATTATGTCCACATGATGGTCAGGACTTGGGAACCAGGAACAGCAGGAAGCCACCTGCCATACCCAACAGTCATGCTCTCTGGGGGGGGACATGTAAAGTGGCCACAAAGAGGAGGAACATTTTAAATGGGGGAAAAAAAATAAAAAGATGCTGGAGAGTATCTGGTATTCACAAAAGTGAAAAAGCACCAGTTGAGACCGGATTTCCCATGGGTTCTAAAATGTAGCATGCTGGCATGCACAGAATATAATTTCCATTTTAAACCACTTTAAGATAACTTCCAATATATGGATAATAAAGACCTTTTTTCCCCCAAAAGATTTCCTTTGAATTGGTGTGTGTCTTATAATGCACTAGTTATATATGACAAATAAAACAGTCATGTTCCTTAGTCTACTTCTGGTTTTGCACTCCAAGAAAAAAATCCTAAATGTGGAAAAGGCTTCTGCACCAAGATGTTCACCGCAGTAATATATAACAGCTCAAAATCAGAAAAAAAATGGATCCACAAAAGGAAACGGAAAAACAAACTACTGTATCCCCACAAGATATATTACACAGCCATCAAAATGACATTTACAAAGAAGATATAATAGTATAATAAAATGATTGAAATCAAATAGCTCAGTATAGTATGTAGAAAAAACATTATCCATAGAAACAGAAGTGTAGAAGGAAATAAATAGTGGCTGTGTAGATGATGTAGATGGTGACTGTTTTTTTACTTTTTACTTTTCTGTACTGAATTTTTTCCTAGTAAGCGTATATTACTTTTATAATGATATTGAAAGTCCACTGAAAATGCCCAGAGGGGACTCTGTTCCCAGAACATTTGGCAGGGTCAGCACGTGGTCACCAACCCGACACCCGCCCGGCCACCTGCGCCCACTCCCGGATTACCTCGCTCATCAGCCGGTCTCGAGCACTCCTCTCGCGGGCCCACTCTGCCTCTCTCTTTTCCCACATTTCCTTAGCCTCCTCCCTAGGGAGACACAGAGAGGATGACAGCTGGATCCTTACCACCACCGGTGGTAGAAGAGAACCAACAGGGCTCCAAGGCACCAGGTAGCACACACCTTCTGTGCAGCCGACCTCCAAATAAACTTCCAGCAGATTACAGGGAAGGACAACTTCACAGAAAGTATTACTATCGTAAGCACTTTAAGTTCCCTTTTTTAACACTCCATCTCCTTACAAAAAGCACTGGTGAAGACATGCATCCAGGACATTTAAACACTGAAGTGAATGAAACCATTGGGGCTGGAGAAGAGGAGGGGCATGCCAGTGCCTGAGCTCTGTCACCATGTTCCTGCGGTCACTCTAGCTCGCCCTGTGGCCTGGGGCAAGTGAGTGACTGCCTCGACTCCCCGTGACCCAAGTACCCTGTGACCCCAGCACTGGGCTGGATGTCAGGATTAAACAGGAGGAGGACCGTAAAGCACTTAGCACAGTGTCTGGCACACGGTAAGTGCTCAGTAAGTGTTACTTGTTATTCCAGTACTTCAATCTACCAGATTAAGTTTTAGGATCCAGACCCATTCATATAGACCTAAGAAGCATTCAATGTCTCCATAATTTATAACCATTTCCTTTCAAGTTTCTAAGATCTCAGATGAACAGATCCTTACTCTAAACCCTAACGGCTTCCACCTTAAATAACCCGAGGGAAACACCCCACAAGCCAGGTCCACTAGCAAAGATGTGCTCCTCACGAATGATGGACAGAGGAACAAGGATGGGAGTTTCATCTACAGCAGACAACCCTCACAGCGACCTGCTGACCTGCGGGGATCGAGGTGCAAGTAGAGGCCGGGATGCCACCTCTCACCTCAACAGCATCTGCAGCTCCGCCTCCCGCGCCCTCTCCAGTTGCAGCTGCTCCTCGATGACCCGCTTCATCCAGGCCACATCGGCCTGGGCCTGCTCCCTCCGGGCCAGGTGCACACGCTGGGTCTCGTCCTCCTCCTTCAGCAGCGCCTGCAGGATGCGCCTGTCTGCCTCCTAGAGGAAGGACGAGGAAGCGCAGTGGGCACGGTGCCCAGCCCTGCAGTAGCAACAGCCTCAGCTCTGCCAGCCCCTCGGCACTGAAAGCAGGCGTTCTGGGAAGACATGGGCTGTTTCCAGAGCAGGCAGGGTGTGATCACGTAGGGATGATTTAGACGCCACAGAGGCCCAGGAGCTTTTCTCTGCCCACAGGGAGAGACCCTCTGCCACCACACGCTCATCTCTGCCCTCGGACACAGCTGGTAGCACAGCTTTTTAGAACACAATTTGCCAGCAATTCCACTTCACAGGATATAAGCTACAGAGACACAAATGCACAGAGATATATGCACAAAGTGCTCACTGCAGCTGTTCCGTAAGAGGAAAGCGACTGGGGTGGGAAAGCAACTCTCCTGTCTGGTCTCAGTGAGGGAGCCCATCAAAATACTTGCAAGGAATACCGAGCAGCTAGTCAAAAAGAACAAGCTCAGTCTAAGAACACTGGTCTGGAAGCCTGAGGTGTACTCTTAGGTACTATGCTGTGCAATGCCACTTCAAGTACATTTAAAAATGAAACTGAAAACCCCCCAAACTCACCACTTCCCTGTATGTGTGTGTATGTAAATACAGTTGATTCCTGAACAACATGGGTTTGAACTGTGTGAGTCCACTTACAGATTTTTTTCAATAAATATACTAGTATTTTTATTTTACAGATCTTTAAATTAACTAAGTGTGGGAAAAGTGTTTGACTAGAGAGTACCGTAGGTAGACTGAAATGAACGAGGGTTTGAGTCCTGATTCTAACCAAACTGTTTTAGCTTCCTGCCCTTCAGTGGGTCATTTATCAATTCGTTTTTGAGGCAGAGAGAGCAGTACGTGGGTTTTCAACTCCGTGGGGGTCAGCACCCCTAACCCCCACGTGGTTCAGGGGTCAACTGCATATCTAGAAAGATGTACACCCAAACAGACACCTCTGGGAGGGGCAGGGATTGCGGGGGCTGCTGGTCAAGGGGGGATCTCACTTGGTGTTTTCTTATGAGAACGCACCCATTACTAAGCAATGGAAAACATGCTTTTCAAAAGAAAGTGAAAGAAACGCCAGGCTGTCCCTTCAGATTTACCAGTTCCTCTTGGATCTGCTGTGTACGTCTGTTGAGCTGCACGTTATACTGATGTCTCAAACAGCGTCTAGAAATGAGAAAATATGGGTTGCCTTCAGTGTTTCCTAAAGAATTAAGCAGAGGTTAGACAGCTGCTTTCTGCAGATTGTATCCCGTTCGGTTTCAGGGTTACCACTGCACGTCTGAGAAAGTGAGAGGCTCGCCCGCTTCGGAAAGGCAGGCAAGCGGTTGGGGGTCCTTCTCACACGCACCCCAGCTCCGCCTTCTGCCACAAGGCTGCCATCTGCTTCCGCTCTTCCTCCAGCCTCTCCAGCTCCCAGCGCTGCTTCAGCAGATTCTCCTGCTCCTTCTTTAGTTTGGTGGCCTATGGGTACAAGATGGTAAGCCCAGGTAAGTGCATGAGAATCAGAGTTCCTTCATCCCTCAGCAGACACGACGCAACAAGGGTGGCCTGGCCACCTGGTGCCAGGATCCCCTTCCACCTCCGGGGCTCTGAGCCCCTTGGCCCAGCTCACTCATTCATCTTGCTGGGCCTTCCCAACCCTGCCAACAAGGATGAACCCCTGCCCCGTGCTCCCACAGGGCCCTGCACTTTCCAAGCCTATTGTAACTAAACATCTGTCTCCCTGACCCGATACAGCTCCCAGCTGTATCCCTAGCAGCCAGCCCAGTGCTCGGCACTTAGAATACATAGTGGGCACAAAGGATCTAGTTCTTGAATCATTCTGGCCTGGGGAAGGGGGGAGTGCTCCCCTCGCCTGCATGAGAAGATCTAGCCCCTCAGAGCAACTGTGCACAGTATTCTCAAAACAGCTTCCAGGACCAAAGATCCTCATGGTTTATGCCTTGAGACCCCCCAACTGCTAGTCTCCCGCGAGAGCTGTGTGCTGGATCATCAGACTAAGTCAAGTCTACTAAGAGCACTTGAAATCCAAGTACTCGGGAGGCTCTCAGACAGCAGGCCTCTCTACACACGTCGGAGGGGACGCGTGTTATCTCCTGACGGTTGACACTCTAGAATCTGGGCACAGAAAGAACCACAGGTGGGAGCACATGTCAGAAGGAGAGCCCAGCGTTGTTTCCCTTCTTAGAATCGCCCCCCTGGATATGGTCTCTGTTTAGCGCAGCTTTTTAAACGCCCGTTTCCTAACAAGAAGGAGCTGCGAGCAAGGAGGCCCTGGCGCCGGGGCTTGCCCTCACCTCCATCTCCTTCACCTTCAGCTCCTCCATCTGCTGGCGCAGCGCGTCTGCCTGCAGTTTACCCTCCAGTTGCCTCCTCTCCTCTTCTGCTTTCATCCGTTCCAGTGCTTCCCGTCGGGCCGTTTCATATTCATTTTCATACCGTTTTTCCTTTTCCTCTTCGGCGGCTTCTTGCTGCATGGAGCCAAAGGGACCTGGGGGTGAGTATCTGTAGCATGGAGCTGGCAAAGACCCAGCTCCCCACCACCGGTCAGCAGGCCTCAGGGCCCGTTCCTCATTCCAACACGTCTGTACCCGAGGAGGCCACGCACTTATCAGCTGTGTGGCCCACGCAAAGGTGCATCTTCCTGGGCTCGATTCTCACTGTGGGAACCACGGGAGTGGTGCTGCCCTCAGAGACGAAGCTGGGGAGGCTCTCAGCACAGTGCCTGGTACAGAGGAGGGGCTCAAGAACACCAGGGTTCCTTCCCCTCCACAAGTCAACAAAACACTTTCCAAAATGAACCCAGAGGTGAAGCAATGGGTCCACGGAGGTGTGGACTTTTATCCCCAGAGTTGCTGCTATAAACCAAGGTTGAGACTTATGACGTAAATCACATCAAAAGAGGGTGCTGCAACAGAAACAACCTTTAAGGATGCATGTTGCGTCTACCATCAACCAGCCCTGGACGCCTTGTCTTACTCTGCCCCTGGGAGTGATCACGTAGGATTCTTGTCTGCATAAGAGCAGCAAACGTTCAGTTTTAACATGTGTTAAGTAAACCGAGAAAAAGTCTATTCCTGTATTGGAGTCATTAACATTGAAAACAAGAAACAAATTCAAAGACATGGACACAGGGCTTCCCTGATGGCGCAGTGGTTGAGAGTCCGCCTGCCGATGCAGGGGACACGGGTTCGTGCCCTGGCCCGGGAAGATCCCACATGCCGCGGAGCGGCTGGGCCCGTGAGCCATGGCCGCTGAGCCTGTGCTCCGCCACGGGAGAGGCCACAACAGTGAGAGGCCCACGTACCGCAAAAAAAAAAAAAAAAAGACATGGAGACAGTCTCCCAACACATACCACACCTGTTTTTTTTCCTCTTTCTGTGTTTCCCAAGAGTTTATCACATGTTTCTTGTGAAGTTCCAATTCAATCTGAGGACGAGAAGGCAGAGAATAAACTTCCTAACTGATTCATTGGACACATATTCACTGCCGAGTACAGTGTCATGGCCTGGAATGTGGCCAGGTGTCTTATAAGTAAGTGCATGGTGACCCCAACATATACAGTCTGATTACAAGTCAATTAGAAAACCAAAGGACCAGTCAATTCTAAACCATGTCAAGAATTGGAGAAAAGTAACAAACTTTTCTTCCAGTACCCTTGGGGCTGAGCCGGAACAGGTCAGCAGACACTGAAATGGAAATCTAATCTCAAAGGCCACCCTGGTAGGTCTAAAGCCTGCCAGGCCCCAGGGCAGAAGCTGGATGAGGAACAGACTCAACCTTTGGCCTGGCTCCCCAGTACTCCCTCTGCAAAAGAGCAGCTGTAAAAACAAGCACTACCTGTATCAATAGATGCAACAAATTTAGGGTAATTAATAAGAGATTTGGGTTTAAACAATCTTTTGGATCAGAAAATGAATTGTATCACTGTCCAAAAGCTTTTGTTTGGGAAATTGTTTATAAAAGTTTTAAATTTCTTCCTCAGCTCACACATGTAAACCTTTGCAACTAACTTGAATGTTCTGAATAAACATCTGAGTACATGACTTTGGAGGAGCCACTGAAATCTACAAATGGCTGGGGAGAGGAGTCCTCCCGGGTTTAGTGCTAACCGCACAGCACTGCAGAGCAGCCAGACGCTCTAGTACTTGTGACTGGCAATTTCTACATGAAGTTATGAGCACACAAGTGAACACACCAAGTGGATACACAAACTATACACTGAAACTAATTAATTATATCCTTCATGGGATTCTCTCCCTCTAGCCCAATCTCTGCTGAGTGATGTCACCCCAGCCAAGACGCCCCACTCTCTCCTTGCCCCGAAGCCTGTGGATTTGTCCCCCTTTCTCCTGCCACCCCAGTTCTGACCTTTACCATTACTTGCCTGGGCTGCGGCAGCAACCCCTCAATTGACATCACCCCTTCCCCCCCACCTCGACATTACTGCCAAAGCTGCTGCTCCCCAAAATGCAGCTGGGACCCTGTTGCACCCCTGCTTAAAATCACGCAGGCGCTCCCCAGCACTTCCAGGGGAAGACCGTATGAGGCCGTCCAAGGTGGCCCCTTCTGCCTACACAGCCTCTGCCCTTGGGGTCCCCCCTCCCTATCAGACGTCCCAACCTCACAGCCACTTGTAGCTGTTAACCGAATGACCCAGATCTTCTGTGTGGGGCTTCTTTTCAAGGTGGCTGGAGTGATCTCTGTTTCACCCCAGCACAAGATGCAAGCTTAGAAACAAGACGGGAAACATGACTTCATCTACTTAGGCAAATCAACAGAAGGATCTCCTTGGTTTTCACCTCTCGAAGTTTGGGGTTGTTCTTTTTCCAGTGTTCATGCAAAAGCTGTTCAGCAATCTGTCAAGAAAACACAAAGAGGGAAGCCTGATGTCACTTTTCCAATCTGTCCACATTTTGGATAACCCACAATAGAAGTCAGCTCAGGCTAAGAGCTCCTCCACTAGCACCCGGCACTGTGCCTGCCCTTCAGACCTCCCACATGCCTCACACCCACGGCGCTGGGAGCCAGACACCTGATTGGAAGCACACAGTGCTGACAAATGACTCTTATAATGGTGTCAAAAGGGGGCCCAAATCTGATGCTACAGATGGGTCCTAGATACTAAAGATCTGTTTCAAAATATACAACAGGCTTAAAAACAGAGTTCTGGGGCTCACCATCGCACACGACTACTTTGGAAGATAAAATATACCACTCCCAGCCCTTTGTGGGACCAGAGAACTAGAATAAAGAAAAAGGACTCAGATGTAATGATTAAGGGGCCAAAGAGAATAGAGATGACTCATGGAAAACACACATAAAGAACAACTCAGAGTAAGCACTTTTCCCGACTGGCTCTGGAGTGAAGTGTGGTCTTAACAGGTCAGAGCCCCCGAGGGGACCCCACGTGGCATCACTGACAGGCTGGGGACTCCCGCTCTGCAGCCTCCTAAAAAGCTACTTACCAGTTTCCTTTGCTCCTCTCGGGCTGACTTCAGATTCCTGTGCTGCTCCCGGATTCTTCTTTCCCTCAAGTTCATGCTCAGCCTCAGCTCCTCCAGTTCTCTGGCCAGCAGGTCCTGCTCCTCCGCCAGAAGCTGCCTGAGTCTCTGCCGTCGGGCCTCCAGACGCTTCCTCCCCTCCTCCTTCATCTTCTCCCGCTGGTAGGCGTACATGCTGGGTAAGAAGGAGCCACCATCAACCAGATGTGCTACAGCCGCACAGGGAACACGTGGCTGGTTGTGTGGGTGACAGAGGCTGAGGCAGACAGAATGTGGTGACCCGGGAAGGTTTCTTCCAGCCAAAGTGAACAGAGGTGACAGAACCACTACGCATAATAGAATCTTGTTTTTGCAAGAAGAAAATGTATAATGGGCTTATATATGCGCGTGCTAACGGTACCAGCTAATATTATTTGAGCAGTTACCGTGTACCAGGTACTACATACCCGGACGGTCTTATATTAATCATCACATAAATCCTATAAAGTAGGTTCTGTTTTAGCCCCACTTCACTGATGAGGAAACTGAGCTCATTCATACAGCAAGTGACACAGTCAGGGTTTCTATCTAGGTCTGTCTGACTCCAAAACCTATGCTTTTTTTTTGCGGTACGCGGGCCTCTCACTGTTGTGGCCTCTCCCGTCGCGGAACACAGGCTCCGGACGCGCAGGCTCAGCGGCCATGGCTTACGGGCCCAGACGCTCCGCGGCACGTGGGATCTTCCTGGACCAGGGCACGAACCCGTGTCCCCTGCATCAGCAGGAGGACTCTCAACCACTGCGCCACCAGGGAAGCCCCTAAAACCTATGCTTTTAACTTCAATGTTTTTACATGCATTTCTACAGAAAATGGGTGTATATGTGTATATATATTTACACACAAACACAAATGGAGAAGAGTATGGGAGGATATGCACCAGACAGTTCATTGTGGTTCTCTCCTGGGGGTATGGGGTTACGAAGGAGACTTCCACATTCTACATACATTTCTCATTTTATCTTTTTCAGTGCGAATTCGTTACTTCACTGATGATCTTTCTTTCAATTTCCAGTTGGAAAGACATCACTGTGCAGGTAATCCATGCTGTCCAGCCACACTCCCCCAGGTCCTTAAGGTCACATCTCCTGACAGCAAGTGGCCCTCAACCCTAACTGATGGTGGTCACCACACAATTACCTCCTCTGGTAGGAGGCCTTGGAGCTCCATTCTGCCTGTTTGGAGCTGCAGATGTCAGACACCTTGAAGTAGCGGCTGTTCTGATCCCACTGCTGCCGAAGCTGGGCCTCCTGCTCCCGGCGTTGCTGTCGTGCAGCCTGCTGATCCGGGAGCCTCCGGCTGCACCAGGAGGAGGGCAGCGTGGGGAGTGCCATCTGAGGAGAACAGCAGTGGTAAGAGAATGAGCCTGCTGCAACCCCTCATCCCTTTAATGCGTGATCCTCACCCCTTGGCTGAACACTGGAATCGCCTGGTAGAGCCTGGGCCCCACGCCAGACTAGTTAAATCAAAAAGTCTTAGTGTAGGCCCCCAGGCACCAGTATTTTAAAAATGACTTGTCATCAGGACTGCAAATCATCTACTTAAATAAGCGTGGACTGCACTGGGCTGTGAGCCAGACATCATGAAGGGCACTGCAGACAGAGACAGAGAACCAGTCCTGGCAACGCTGGACAAGCACACTGGGGACTTCTATGCTCTGCCTAAGGTAACATAGATAATAATTTAAGGAATACTTGTGTGTGCCAAGCCCTTGACATATACGATCTTTTTCATTGTTACTATCGGCCCATTTTTTGGCAGGTGAGAAAACTTAAGTTCAAAGAGGTAAAATGACTTGCTCAAGATCACAAAACCAGGAAGTGGAGGAAATTTATAAAAGAGCTGGGATCCTAATTCATGTTAGTCTGAGATGAGTGCCCGGGCTCTGTAGACTGCAAGAGGCTGCCTGTTGGGACCAACATGCCCTGGCTTCGGCAACCCGCAGAGAGTGGCCCAATCCAGGTGTCACATCTGGAAGTGTTCTGGATTAGCATGGAGGGAGATCCGTCATCTTACGGATGGAGAAACCACCACCCAGAGAGAGGAATCAATTTGCATGGGTCAAGGAGTAATCTGGGGACACAGCTGGAAACTTGAAAGCAGAACCAGTCTCACTCCGGACACCTTTTCCCCTGGTCCAAAAGCTGCCCTATGTGCAAGGTCTACACAGTGCTTGGCTGTGACAATGCTTAAGGAGCTTCTGTTGAATAAGCACACTCAGAGTCCTCCGATCCCGAAGGAAAATGATCTGCGTCTATGGGCCGAGGTTAGCCTGAGGCTGCCAGTTTATGATCTGTCTTCAGACTGTGGCAGGCTTGACAAACTGTTTTCCTTGCCCTGTGAGCCGCCCGCGGATAGATCTTTGCACCAGGAGTCAGAAAACTTAAGATTCCGGTCCCGGATCTGCCACCAACAAGCTGGGCTGCTCCCTGAAAAAGTCGCATCCCTCTGTAACAAAAGCGGTTACAGAGGAAAGTGTCGGACCCAGAGCGCGCGGGAAGCAGAGTGAGAACGGGAAGCCGAACCCCCGGGCTCCCTGCGATCGCGTCCGGCGACGGCGGGCGCGCTTCCCGCCAGCGCGGAACCGACTGCAGCGGGGCTCTGAGGGTCCCGGCCTCAAAGCCGGCCCCCGGCCGAGCCCAAACCCCCGACTTACGTTTCTCTGCGCCCCGGAATTTTCGAAGGCTGTCCCGGCCCGAGCTGCAGCATGTCCCAACCGAGCCCGGCCCAGCCCGCTGCAACCCTTCCGGGCAGAGCTGCACCTACGCCGGCCGTTTCCCTGCTCGTTGCCGGGGCAACGGGTCGGCGACGGAGCGCCGCGAGGGCCAAGCCTCCTGCAGCGCGATTACTAGACGCGCAGAGAGGAAAAAGAAGGCTGTGTTTTTCTCTGGTGCCCCCGCGTGATGGGCGGGAGCTCAATCGCAAACGTCGCTAGTCCTAGAAACAGGCAAGGAAAGAGGAAAAGAATCCATTCACTACACCAAATTCAGGATAAAGGTGAGGATGGGGGGAAATCAGAGGGATATGATAGGGGAGGTGATTATAAGCCAGTGGTTCTCAAACCTGGCTGCGCATGAGAATCATCTCGGGAGCTCTTAAAAATCCAGATGTCCAAACCAAACTCCAGACAAATCCCATCAAGCTCCCTGAGGGTATCAGTGGTTGTCTAAGCCCCCCAGGTGCTTTCGACGTGCAGCCAGCTCGCAGAACCGCTGGCGTCAGTAGGGACGAGTTATTGGTAACTTTCTATTGTCTTAGGATAGTGGTGGGTTCAAGTCTGTTCATTCTCTTAGTGTGTTTTATAATTCGCAAGTGTTACGTGTATTATCTTATGTATCAACTATTCCGTTAAAAAAATGAAAACATCCGCTCTTTGATTCATGCTCTTTTCATTTTCCCATTCTTGTCTTCATTTACTCTCTCCTTCATTCCTTCCTCCCTTTATTCCATTCTCTGTTTTCCTGGATGCAGCATAATGTCCGGTTGAACAGTGTGGCCTCTGCTGCAACCTCCACCACGCTAGTCATGTGGTCTTGGACAGGTCATTTCATCACTCTGTGCCTCAGTGTCCTCGTCTGTGAAATGAGAATGTTAAAGTAATTGAAAAAGGAGGCCGTGAGACTGGGGAGGCCCTGATGCCTCTGTAGCCTATGCAAGCCAACCTAAACCGAGGCCAGAGCCAATGCACTTGAATCCGAGAAAATGAAACTTACCAATCACCAACAGCCAGCTAGGCGTTCCCAAACAAGGCAACCCCTTAAGCAATAGCCAATCAAATGATTTCCTTGCTTTCACATCTTCTTTCTAAAAACCTCTCTCCTAGATTCTGCCAGTGGAGCGCTCCCGACCACCTTTTCTTTGGTGCTGCCTGATTCAAATCAGTAAGTCTTGAAAATTTTACTGTGCCTCAGTTTAGCTTTTAAAAAGAATACCATCGGGGCTGCTTTCTAGGGTTGCCCTTGTGAGAGGAAATGAAGGTTTAAATGGAGAGGGCCAAACAGCAGAGCACCTCAGGTGAGCTCAGGTGAGCATCTCAGGTGAGCACTGTCTCTCACATCCCCCTTTACTCAGGTGAGCACTGTCTCTTACATCCCCCTTTACTTGACACATATTTACTCAGCATCTGCCCTGCCTCATGCGTGAGATTCCCTAGGGTCAGCCTCCGATTGGTCCCAACCCCTTTGGCCAAGGTCATGGCCACTCTTCCATATTGTGTCCCCAGTGGAGAAGGGAAGCAGCCACCCACTCTGATCAACCCAGCCAGAGCTGCCCACACAACAAAAGAGCCCAATAAATAAATACTTGTTGATGGGCCTCCTTGAGTGTGGTAGGAACTTTAGAAACATGTGAATTGTGTTGTGGGAGACTTGCCTTCAGGTCCTGATTTTGTGCCTCTTGGGCAAGGGCCTTCCACTCTCTGGGCCTCAGTTGCCTCATCTGTATAATAGCCTTAAAGGAGCAAACAAGCTCCACTACTGGGATCAAGGGCCTAGGGCTTGACTGGCCTGGTCCTGGAAGCCTGAGGCCCCAGGCCATAGCCTCTGGGCCTCTTCTTCTGGGATGGCACTTGCCCAAGGAACCACAGCTTGTAGGTGGTAGAGCCAGGACTTGAACCCAGCTCTGTCTGATTCCAGGTCCTGAACACTCTGAAGCACCGAGAGGGTAGGGATCATTACCTTCCCTGCTGTGGCTCCAGTGCCTGGCACAATGGAGGCACTTAATAAATATTCGTTGAGAATGAATGAGTAGATTCCCCCCAACTTGAGTCCCTTCTTTTTCTCCAAAAGAAAAAGGGAAAGATGGTATTGAAAGACAACAAAAAGAAAAACATAAAGGGACTAACATTGTTTGAATACCTACCATGTGTCAGATGCTTTTAGATGTAGTTTCTTGTTTAAGCTTCCCTCTAACATGTGAGGTTCCTGCCTGCATTTTGCAGATGAGGAAGCTGAGACTGAGATCTCAAGCAACTCTCTTGAGGTCACACGGCAAGGACGACAAGAGTCAGGATTTACACCCAACCTCCAGAGCTTGTAAATCTCTTTTCAGTCTGCTTTTCCAGCAGCTTGTGACTTGTAGATGCAGCTCTTAAAAGAGGCCAGCAGATGTGGGCCAGCTGGGCCATATAAAGAGTTCAGCAATATTCAATATTTAGTGACAGTTTGATGACTACGGCCCACAGGGGACTAGGAGAGAAAGCCTTGGCAGGCAACCATCGAGGTGAACGCTGCACACACTGGGCCCTGGGCCAGCGCACCATTCCTTGGGGCTGTTCTTGGACTTGTCTTTGGGTGTCCTGGCATGGGAGGAGAAAACAGGAATGGGGAGGTGGCATGATGACACGGGAGCAGCTCCCTATTAGCTGAAACGTGACAGTGCTGGAGGCCATGCAATGCCCTCACTTAATCAGCAGGTGGCGATGCCAAGGCACATTTACCTACGCTGGGTTTTCACAGCGTTTCGACATCAACCACCCTGGTTTCTCTGCTGAGCTGGGCTCCCTACCCTCCCTAAGACAAGGATGCAGAAGCAGACAGGTGAGCTCAAAGACCCTGGGGCTATGGGGCTGCCTCTCAGAGCCCCAGTTTTGTGTTTTATTAGCACTCAATTGTTTGACTAGCACTGAATTATTTCGTATCTCTGAGCTTCAATTTTCTCACCTGTAAAATGGGGATAGTAGTGCTGGTTTGTTTAACAGCTGCCTCAACCCAGTGCTGGACACATGATTAGCACTTGACAAGTGATACCTGTTCGTGTTATAATTGCCTTAATGCCGACAGTTTTCTGCATAGCGCCTGCTCAAGTGCTGGGTTTAGTTCCCTTTCTCCTAAGGGAAAGAGCTGAGAAACTGTTACAGGCAGACCTTGGAGATATTGCAGGTTCAGTTCCAGACCCCCACAATAAAGCAAATACCACAATAAAATGAGTCACACAGATTTCTTAGTTTCCATGCATATGTAAGTTACATTTACACTATACTGTAGTCTATTAATTGTGCAACAGCATTATGTCTAAACAAACAATACACACACCTTAATTTAAAAATACTTTATTGGGGCTTCCCTGGTGGCGCAGTGGTTGAGAGTCCGCCTGCCAATTCAGGGGATGCGGGTTCATGCCCCGGTATGGGAAGACCCCACATGCCGCGGAGCGGCTGGGCCCGTGAGCCATGGCCGCTGAGCCTGTGCGTCCGGAGCCTGTGCTCCGCAACACGAGAGGCCACAACGGTGAGAGGCCCGCAAACCGCAGAAAAACCAAAAAAACAAAAAAACTTTATTGGGACTTCCGTGGTGGCGCAGTGGTTAAGAATCCGCCTGCCAATGCAGGGGACACGGGTTCGAGCCCTGGTCCGGGAAGATCCCATGTGCCACGGAGCAACTAAGCCCTTGTGCCACAACTACTGAGCCTGTGCTCTAGAGCCCGAGAGCCACAACTGCTGAGCCAACAAGTTACAACTACTGAAGCCCACACGCCTAGAGCCCGTGCTCCGCAACAAGAGAAGCCACCGCCATGAGAAGCCCACACACTGTGATGAAGTGTAGCCCCCGCTCGCCATAACTAAAGCTGGTGCGCAGCAAAGAAACCCAACACAGCCAAAAAATAAATAAATAAAATAAATACTTTATTGATAAAAAATGCCAACCATCATCTGAGCCTCAGCATGTCATGATCTTTTTGCAACACTCACATCAAAGATCACCGATCAGGGACTTCCCTGGCAGTCCAGTGGTTAAGACTGCACTTCCAATGCTGGGGGCGCGGGTTTGATCCCTAGTTGGGAACTAAGATCCCACATGCTTCGCCGAAGTGCGGCCAAAAAAAGAAACCCCGAGAAACAAAAAACAGATCACTGGTCACAGATGACCATAACAAATATAATAATAATGGAAAAGTTTGAAATATTGTGAGAATTACCAGTGTCTTGGTGACACAGAGACATGAAATGAGCAAAGTCTGTTGGAAAAATGACACCAACAGACTCACTTGACACAGGGTTGCCACAAACCTTCCATTTGTATAGAACACAGTATCTGTGAAGCGCAATAGAGTGAGATCTGCCTGTACTAATTTGCTCACCACCAGTTGATAAACACATAGCCATTCTCCCAGTTTCCCTGCTTGAGCTGCACACTGATTGGGGTGGGGTGTCTACTCCTCTCTGCGTGTGGTTCAGGAGTAAATCCTGATTTGTCTAAGTCAGCTATGATGGAGCCATGCCCTTGACTGGGCTGGCGGTGGGCTTGGGGCCCAGTCCTGCCCAATGACATTTAAGGGCACATCTCCTGGGGGTAGGGGTGGTTTTACTGGGTCTGTGGGAGACCTGTGGTACTGCTGCGGCCCTCCTCTCCGGGAGGAAGCCCCTGACACAGCTGACCATGACCTTCGCAGGGCAGGAACAGAAGAATCTGGTCCTTGATGGTGATGTCAAATATGGAATTAATCCACCAAGTGGGACCCCACCCCATAGCTTGGGATTCCTTTTTTTTTCTTTTAAGATTTTTCTTTTTACTAGTTTTTATGGTAAAACAGCATACAACCTGAGATCTACCCTCTTAAAACATCTTTACGTGTACAGTACAGAGTTGTTAATGGATACAGAAAACGTGATCTATACATACAATGAGATTCCTTTTTAGAAGGTAAAATAGAGTCTTGTTGCTTAAATAATTTTTCAGTCAGCAGGAAGTACTCCCATACACAGACTTGTCTAGAGCAGCATTGCTCAAAGTACAATTCTTTTTGTTTTAATACATGACTTTTTTGGGGGTAAAATACACATAAAAATCAACATTTTAACCATTTTTAAGTGTACAATTCAGTGGCATTAAGTATATTCATAATATTGTGCAACCATCTCAACGTGTGATTTTTTTTTTCTGTTTCAACTTTTTAATGTAAAAAGTCAGGTCATGGAATATAGATCATCATCATCGTCATTCTGCAGCACACATCACACTGTGGGTATGGATATTTCCGTGTGTTATTGGCAAGAGAAACCACAAGAAAACAAAATAACTCTTCAAACACTCCTTTCCCCAGGCAGGTTGGCAGTCAGCTGTGGCCCACATTCACAAGAGAATTCCAAAAGGATGCTGTTCTGGGCGGTATGTCAGGGGCATGGATTAACGTGGTTGTTTTAACTCTGATCTTTCAGCGCTCGGGCTGGTTTCCCACGGCTGAACTTCTGAAGACAGGCCTCACGACGTGCAAATGGCACACTTTCTAGAAAACAGGTGGTGTATGAGACCCTCGCTTTTAGGATCCAAGTGTAATTCTTGGACCATGACAACAGCTGGGGAAGGGATGTCAGAGGTTCTTCCCTAGCTCCCTCTGGGGGCTGAGGCCCCAAAACACATCTCTGTGACAAGTTCCCCCTGCTGGATCTGACGTCACCACAGCTGGAAAACCACCTGGGCCAGTGTGGTGGAGCTCACCCCATCCAAATTCCTCTGTTTACACGGGGGCTGAGGCCCAGAGATGGAGAGGTCATGCCCAAATGAGGTAAGTGGCAGAGCCAGTGTCTCTACTGAGAGCAGCTGGTGGCCTCAGCATGTGGAGGTGGAAACAGAAGCTGCAAAGAAGAGAAGACTTGGCCAGCAGCTGCTTAGCACTTACTGAACATCTACTGTCCTGTGTGACTTCCCCTTGTCCTCAGCGTCTCTAGGAATTATGGGTTATCACAACTCCACTTTTCAGATGGGGAAACTGAAGCTTAGTGTGGTTGGCCTGTATGGTGTAAGTCAGATCTCACCACCCCAGAGCCCATGCCGGTTCCATCCTGCTGGGCTGTCAGATCTGGGCACAGTCCACTGAGATGGGGCCTCAAGCCAGTCCTGTGTTTTCCATGCCTTTCCCAAACATGGGCACCCACTGGCCATGCCTGGATGGCAGAGAGCCTCCATTTCCTAAGTTCCTAAGTTCAAGGTGACTGGTGGATGGTGTTGGGCAGCTCCCTTCTGTGCTTAACCTTGAGGCTTCCTCAGCTCCCCCTCTCCTTCCACGTGAAGCCACACCATGAACAAGCCGCTGGACCTGGCACGGTCTGGGCCCTGGCCAATTCCACCAAGCACACTAGCCTTTTCTTTAAGTCTCACGGCCAGTGTTTCTGCTGTGCTGTTCCCTCTGCCTAGAAGGCTGTTTCCCCTTCTAACTTCTCCTCATCCTTCAGGTCTTGGTGTAAATGCCCCTTCCTCTGAGAAGCCCTCCCCCAACCCCGCTGACTGGATCAGGTCACCTGGCCTCAGAACACACTGGATTTTTCCTCCATAGTGTTCACTGCAGTGTTAAAGAAATAATTTAAAAAATTAACATCCTGCCCACACTAGACCGTGAACTTCATGAAAGCCAGGGACCTGGCTATCTGGTTCCTGCTGTGTGTCCCAGCCTCTGCTCTACTGCTTGGTACACAGTGGGTGCTTAATAAATACCTAGAGAGTGGGTGAATGAAACTATGGCAAGTGGGGCACTATGTCCTCATAGTCGGGGGGGAGTGGGGACATGGGCTAGAGGGCCACACCTCTGCTGGAGAGGTTTCCCGCGGAACCTGGACAGTGTGCACTATGGGTTCCTAAAAATTCAGTGCGACCTCTGTTGAGCAGGCACCTGGGATGTTCCCAGACTCCTCTATTGAGTTTCAGGAGCCTTTGTCCCCGAGAAAAGCTTTGCCACTCGTCCTGTCCACCGAGGTGTGCCTCCACTGCACACTCATTGGGACAGTAAAGTTACTGGCCTGGGTCCTGCAGCAAAGCCAGCTGCCAGGGGGCAGTAGGAGTGAGGGACACACCCCGAGAGCCACTAGTGGAATTAGGAGGTAGAAGGGACTTTTTTTTAATGGCCTCAGCTTAGCTTATTTATTTTATTTTTAAAATTTTTTTATTGGAGTATAGTTGATTTACAACGTTGTGTTAGTCAGGTGTACAGCAAAGTGAATCAGTGATACATATAGATATATCCACTCTTTTTTAGATTCTATTCCCATATAGGCCATTACAGAGTACTGAGTAGAGTTCCCTGTGCTATACAGCAGGTTCCTATTAGTTATCTATTTTATATATAGCAGTGTGTGTATGTCAATCCCAATCTTCCAATTTATCCCTCCCCCCGACCAAAGGGGGCTTTTGAAATCATCATGCTGGACCCATTCACTCAACACATGGGGAAACTGAGGCTCACAAAGGGAAGTAGAGTCTGGAAACCAGTCAACAAGAGTCAGGACCAGATCCTGGGTACCCTGAGAGGTGGGCCTGGGTGCTTTCACTCTACTTCCACCCAGAATTACTGAGAGCTGGGGAGGGCATTTCTAGAACCATCAACGTCCTCACCTTCAGCATCCCCATGTGACATATACCGAGTGCCAACCTGTGTCCCAGGTGGATCCTTAAATTCTTAGGTGCCATCTCCTTGAATATTCTCAGTACTTTGAAGGAGGGGCTATTAGGATACCCATTTCACAGATGAGGAAACCAAGGCTCAGAGAGATTATATTCTTTGCCCAAGGTCACACAGCTGGAAGTGGTAGAGCTACTAATAGCAATGGTACTTTGTTGTGACACTGTCTTTTGTCAGTGACATGGTTGGGTTTCCTTATAGCATTTTTTCCCCTGAGGCTGCCCCTATAGGTAGAAGATGAGGTGGCATTTCTCCCTTTACTCTGTTCTGTTTACATGCCCCAAATACTATGTTCATGCAGCAACTGAAAAAAAAGTTCAAATATTTAGCTGTAGTATGCGGTGCTGTTTTCCTGGGATGGCAGGGAGTGGGCCTGCTGGTGTGTGTCGCCTTTGCGTTAATTAGGGAGAAGCGGCAGACGGGCCCCGCGAAACAGCAAGGCGGGTTGGCATGGCAGCTCTTCACACCCAGGGGAGTTGGCTCAACAAAGCCAATTTGGCACATTTAATCCTGCTGAAAACCTGGCAGTTGGGGATGTGACATCACTGGAATCAATTACCCCCACAATTGCCAGTCCTGGGTAGAAATAACTCAAGAAATCGACTCGTAATAACCACGCCATTCATTGAGGGCTGCCTGCCTGCCAAGTCACCAACTGCCTGATTTACATTAACCCGTTAAACCCCACATGAGCCCTGAGAGGTAGTTACCATTATTACTATCCTCATTTTACA